TGTTAAAAGACGGCGTTGATCGAGAGGTCAAAGCTGGAGAGAATTTTAAACATCCATTGGCCCAGGGCCCCCCGGGATCATTACAGCTCACTCCTGAATGGAAGGAGAGTCGAGCCAAGAGAAAGAGAAGCCTAGCGTGGTGATATACGAGCATAATCATTTCTCGCTCTCCTCCTTTTTTTCTGTAGGCAGGGCTGGCCCGCACTTCGTCCTCTTGCATTTTGGTACTGCCTATTCCTCTGAAACCTCTGCAGCAGGCTCAAGCACTTTCCTTTCCTCTCAGCAGCCTTTTTAAAGAGAAACTTTACCCCAAAATGAGAGTTCTGTCATTATTTTTCACCCTCATGTTTCTCAAAGTGCTTATTTTTTTCCATGGAACACAAAATTAGAAAATTTTGAAGAATGGTTATGCAGCGCTTGCCATATAACAACAATTCAGTTCACCAAAAATAAAATAGTTCTGTCATTATTTTCTTACCCTCATGTTGTTTCCAAACCTCAAGGTGGTCATTTTTCCATGGAACACAAAGGTAGAAATTTTTGAAGGATTGTTTTGCAGCTCTTACCATATAACAACAGATGAATTCAACAAAAATAAAATTGTTCTGTGCAAGTATAATAATAATAATAATAATAATAATAATAATAATAAAAGCACTTCTTATTTGATTATGTCACATGCAATATCCAATGCAACACAACATTTTTCTAATATGGACTAAATATAATCAGTTTAATATGTTATATTATTTAGATCTAATTTAAGTTTTTTTTTTCAGTTTTGGTTACACAAAGTCATTGTATGACTTTAGAAGACAAGTCATATGACCTATACTTTTACAGTGTTTTTACAGTGTTGACAGACTTTGGACGTTGTTTTTTTTCTTTCTGAGAAATATACTTCTTGTGTTCCATGGAAAAAAATAACAAACAGCTTTGATTGATGGATTTTTGGGTGAATTATTCCTTTAACTGACCATATTGTTTATTAAATGCTTTGAATTTTTAAACACTACAGTGTGAGTAACACCAGCCTGATGCAAAAAAAAAAAAAAAAAAAGCAGGATGACACCTCAGAAGCGGATAAACTAGACAATTATAATCTTAGAATGTGCTGCTCTATTCTTTTTAAAGTAGATCATTATAAGACACAGCAGTCACAATATCTACAAATAATCACCAGGTCTGCTGCCCGGTTGGAACCCATCATTAAATGTGATAAATGTGGCTCTTGGAATATGTTGACAGAGTTGAGAAAAGTGCACCCTTCATCCACAACACAGAAATATTAATTCACTCACCTTACCCATGATGCCTTAAGTGAGAAGTACCAAGATACTGAGGTCACTGCTGCCATCTACTGGGTTGTCTCTATATTTATTGTGGAGTTTTCTGTTGGGAGACATGCTATGTGATTTGCCAAGACAATTTCAAGTCTGATCTTGAAAAATATCACATTTATTTTCATAGAAAATGTATATTTTACACAGTTCTACACATGCACAGCCACACAATAGTCCATATTAGTAAATATAGACCAACAAGTACTTTTTTCTCTTTAATTCACAGAACAAGCACAGAATTGCAGTCTTGAGCATCTTTTCTTGAAGACACCATGGAGAACACTTACACTGTAGAATATTAAATCTTAAAGCACTAAAAAAGTCTGAAAATCTGTAAATTAAGTATAAACATTTATAAATTATCTACAAATGGTGTACAAAAGAGTAACCGAGAAATGAATGATAACATCCAGTCACAAACGAACACTTGGGATTTATGATAATAGAGATATTTCTGTTAAATGAAAATATATGTAATCTCTTTTATTTTTCTTTTGGCAAAATGATGTTGCAAGCTATACAGGCAGCTGAACATTTCATACATTCCTTTTTGGCTATCCAACCTTTTTTTATTATTATTAGAACCCTCCATGTTTTTCATCTACAACAAATAAACTCCATTCACCCCAATTTTTTATTAAAATGCTTAAATATAGTATACTTTTATTATAATCTTTTTTAAAGATAAAAAATATATATATCAAACACACACAGTATTTACCCTGGATCAAACCATTCAAGAGTGCAATCTAAATCCAACTGGCCACATTATTGTGAGATGCCACCAAATGTTGGCTCAACCTCGCATTTCCAGTTGCAGAGGCAAGATGTTTTGTGTTAATGCAAGAGATGTTGCCCCTTATGTAAACTACTAGATTATAGCTTGAGACAACTGAGCTATCATAGGTAGTTTTGCCTGAGGGTATTACTTAACCTGTATTTTGGTAGCTGAGAATATGTATTATAAAGTCCTCAGCAAAGAGACTATCACAAGGAGTTTGATTCTACCATAGCAAGCAAAGACCTCAGGAAAAACAGCCAATGATAACAGCAGCAAGGATATGTCATTTAAGCCTATAGATGATGTTCTCATAACCAGCCATGACCCATTCGTGTAAACCAGTGTTAAAAGGGTTGTTTACCCAAAAAATGAAAGTGTCATTCTAACCTGTATGATTTCTTTCTTCTGTGAAACATAAAAGAAGATAGGCCTATTTTGAAGAATGTTGGCATCTGAACAGTTTTCCATTGTACGGACTAAAGAGAGAGTGAGAGCAATTTCTCAAAATATCTTTTTATGTTCCACAGAATAAAGAAAGTCATTGAGTTTTGGACTGATGTTAGGGTGGGCAGCCTAAATAATGACAAACTTCATTTTTGCATGAAAATCCGTTTATACAGAACGCATTCTTGTGTTTAAAATCGAATGGCAAAGAACACAGTGTTTCTATGCGTGTAGTCAAACTACTTTTGCTTTTTAAAAACAAACGAGAATGTTGAGAAAGAGTGTCAAATGTCAGTCTTTCGCATGTTTACATTGAAAAACTATTAAAAAAAAACATTTCAAAAATGCATTTTGTGTAAACTGGCCCTTAGTAAGTGAAATTCAAGGAGACACCTACACACCATCTTTGCTTAAATATTTCTTTTTCTGAAGACGACACCACCCTTATTGAAAGGAACAGGAAACAACTTGTAATTTAGCAGCACGTCACATTATCACAAAAGTTTAGAACAACATTTTTCCTTTTTCAGTTGTAAGGGGTTGCACGAACATGGATGCAGAGGGGACACACACATACACACACACACACACGAGCCATTCACCAAAACACAACGAATTGTGCATTGAAAGGCAAACACAGAAACTTTTCATTGTATTTTTATAACTTCAGAGTCATTCTCATGATAAACGCACAAAAGGGAGATCTTAGAGCAAGCAAAAGGGAGGATACTTGGCAAAGACTGATGTATGGAGACATCAGATGTAATATACTGTACTTACTGAGTTTAGATGAAGGCCACAGCAATGTTTAAAAGGATTTGCTCATAGACTGTTCTGGTCAGTTATGCCATTTTGCACCTTGCGCATCTTTCTATGGAAATACTTCTTTTGATTGTGGTCCTTTTTGTTTCGGACTAATGCACTTAATATGGTCTGGAGGTTTTTTATAATTTACTGCTATTTGACCGACAATGTCAGACCATATTTAAAGTGCTTTTTGAACTGTTTTTATCACCAAGTGCTATACCAAACTTTAAAATCTATGAGATTAAATATTTCATTCAAAATCCAGCACTTTGATTTGAAATGTGGAAATTATAATTGAAGGAATTCTTTAAATATTAATAATATCTCTTTGTCCTCTACATGCTTTCATTCTGACAGCCAATTAGCAAGCTCACTGACATATGAGTGACATCTTTATATATGTCATTCCTTTTCATCTGGATATTAAGAGCTTTTTCAGAATATGTACATGGCATGTTAATGTGAAAGCTGTTTAGATTTAATTTTTTTTTGTGTGTGAGAAAAAAAAAATCACCATAGACTTGTCTGAAACACTGAGGATTGGTGGTTTCCCTTTTGAGAGAGAAATCTGTATGCTGTTGTAGCCATATGAATTTGAAATCAATCTCATACTTTTACTTTGAAAACTTTTGGAGCAGTTTCTTCCCCTTAGAGAGCAGTCCTTTTTTCTTTTTAGATGCCAGGTCTCGTGGACCCCTGGCAGGGCTCAGCGGCCTGACTGGGCCAACGGGAAGCAAAGGACGCACAGTGGGAGAGGCGGGTCTTCCAGGGGCCGGAGCTGGCACTGAACTTTCCACAGGCACCTAATGAAACATCCACGGGGAAGGGAAAATTGTGGGATATTATACAGCAAGACTATATTTTGCCTTATTATCTGCCTTCTTCATACATAACAGTCCAGCTTATGTTCTGAGGTTTAAAACAAACGATCTCAGACTAGAAGAGTGCCAAGAAAGTAAGAGCAAAAATTATATTACTACTCACAGATTGGATCTTTAGAGAAAAGGCAGATAATATGGTTGGTTCCTGAATTAACTCGACTGTTTTATTACATTTCTTCTTGCCTGCTAATACAGATATGAAATGTGAAAACATTCCTTCATTTAATTTGTGTTTGAATTGTTAGAAACCTCAAAGGGTGAGGGGATTTTATATTGTAAAACAGCATCAAAATAGACAGCACAAGGACTCCACACAGCACGGGAACCAACTGCAGATACCATACAAGTCTAATGCACTGGCACATTAAGCAGAAAAGTGTTTTTTTTTTTTTTTTTAAAGATAGAATTTTATCACCAAGTGCTATACCAAACTTTAAAATCTATGAGATTAAATATTTCATTCAAAATCCAGCACTTTGATTTGAAATGTGGAAATTATAATTGAAGGAATTCTTTAAATATTAATAATATCTCTTTGTCCTCTACATGCTTTCATTCTGACAGCCAATTAGCAAGCTCACTGACATATGAGTGACATCTTTATATATGTCATTCCTTTTCATCTGGATATTAAGAGCTTTTTCAGAATATGTACATGGCATGTTAATGTGAAAGCTGTTTAGATTTAATTTTTTTTTGTGTGTGAGAAAAAAAAAATCACCATAGACTTGTCTGAAACACTGAGGATTGGTGGTTTCCCTTTTGAGAGAGAAATCTGTATGCTGTTGTAGCCATATGAATTTGAAATCAATCTCATACTTTTACTTTGAAAACTTTTGGAGCAGTTTCTTCCCCTTAGAGAGCAGTCCTTTTTTCTTTTTAGATGCCAGGTCTCGTGGACCCCTGGCAGGGCTCAGCGGCCTGACTGGGCCAACGGGAAGCAAAGGACGCACAGTGGGAGAGGCGGGTCTTCCAGGGGCCGGAGCTGGCACTGAACTTTCCACAGGCACCTAATGAAACATCCACGGGGAAGGGAAAATTGTGGGATATTATACAGCAAGACTATATTTTGCCTTATTATCTGCCTTCTTCATACATAACAGTCCAGCTTATGTTCTGAGGTTTAAAACAAACGATCTCAGACTAGAAGAGTGCCAAGAAAGTAAGAGCAAAAATTATATTACTACTCACAGATTGGATCTTTAGAGAAAAGGCAGATAATATGGTTGGTTCCTGAATTAACTCGACTGTTTTATTACATTTCTTCTTGCCTGCTAATACAGATATGAAATGTGAAAACATTCCTTCATTTAATTTGTGTTTGAATTGTTAGAAACCTCAAAGGGTGAGGGGATTTTATATTGTAAAACAGCATCAAAATAGACAGCACAAGGACTCCACACAGCACGGGAACCAACTGCAGATACCATACAAGTCTAATGCACTGGCACATTAAGCAGAAAAGTGTTTTTTTTTTTTTTTTTAAAGATAGAAAACTAAATAAATTTGAAAAATAATCATTTGAATTAAGAAACATCAATAAAGGGATAATAAAGGAAGTTCAACCAAAAATGAAAATTTGCTCACTATCAGGCCATTCAAGATGTACAGTAGTTGAGTTTGTTCCTTGATCAGATTTGGAAATAAAGAACGAGAGTCCAAACAGCTGATAAAAGCATCACAATAATCCACAAGTAATCCACATGACTCCAGTCCATCAATTAATTTCAAAAGCTGCGTATTTGTAAGAAACAAATCCATCATTAAGGCATTTTAACTTTAAACTTCACTTCTGGCCAAAGAGTCCATAATCCACAGTAACGTTTACTCCAGTGAAGAGGTCCATCCCCTGTTGTCTTCTCACAGCAAAATCCAGACATATTTGTTTAGAACTATTTAGGACTGTTTTCGTGTGTAAATGGTGCTTGATCTGTGCATATTTCTCTCCTGATTCAGACAAGATGACCTTTTCACTGGAGGAAGCAATATTATGAAGAGGACTCGTACTGTATTTTACCCAAATTAAATGGTTTGACATTAAAAATGTCTTGATGGATTTGTTCATTACAAATTCTCAACTTTTCGCTTCACAAGACGTTAGTTCATAGAATGGAGTCATGTGGATTACTTGTGTATTATTATGCTTTTATCAGCTGTTTGGACTATCATTATGATGGCACCCATTCACTTTAGGGAATTTCCTTCAAATCTGTTACAGTGAAGAAACAAATTCTTCTACATCTTGGATGGCCAGAGGGTGAGTAAATACATTTTCATCTGGAGGTGAACTATTCCTTTAAGCAGAAAAATCTAAAACAAAATGTATCTTTAGACGTCAACAGATCATTCTTATTCAACTAATGCTACATCCCAATGATATAATTTACCCATAAAAATGCATTCAAAAATTTCATAAAGGCTGCGTATAAAATCCCATGCATGAGACTGATCACTGGTATCGCCAGTTTGCTCAACTTACCTAGCAAGACAAAAGTCTGCTAGGACAGGAAATGAACAATATTCCTCAGCTTTTTTTTCTTTTTTTGGCAAAGCCGGTGGGGAAAAAAGGAAATTAGAATGCAGCAACATCATAAAAAAATTAAAAAAAATTATGAGGAGAAAAAAACAACACCACCACATACACAAAAACAAACATATGTATTCACTAAATGTCTACTAGCAAAAATACATATTTGTTTTAGTTTTTAATTTATTTCGATTTATTGTAATTACATCATGAATGATATTATTTTAGTCTCTCAGAAAGAGATGGAATGAGTAATAAATGTTCTGCTAGTTCATATGATCTAAAAAAAAAATAGAGTTTTTGGACAATGTGCAATATACAAAAAGAAACAAAGCCTCCTTTGAAATACAACATTTGGGGTAATGTAGTTTACTTTTATATCAAAGCTACAGGTCTGTTCTGGAAAAAAACAGGCATGCGTCAACTACAAACTAGTTTCCAAATCAGTCTTTTAACAAGGTCACAAATCACGAGCCACAGACCCTATGGACTTCACAAAGCACTTTGACTAATGCAAACAGCTTCACTTAAGTAGGGTTTTGTGTTTCAGTGCAAAAATGCTTTATGCTTTATTCGTAGTCCGGTGCAGGAACGGAATTTGGCCTTTTCCACAGTCTTCTGGCGACCCTCTACGAACATTCGCTTTCTTAATAGAGTCACGTTCGTACCTGTCTCTCTATGCTCTCAAAAAGGCTCTGTTTGCAGTGGGCTTTGCTTCTCCCTTTCCTAGAGCAAGAAAGGTTGGACTGGAAATCACCACCACGGTCACATAACGAAAAAACAAACAAGCACAAGAAAACACAGAGACGGCGAGTGGACCGAAACTCAAACGGAGGATGAATGGACACAGGGCCTAGCGCTGAGAACGGCGATGGTGTACCCGTTTGGTCTCTGGGCGCAGTGCCAGTACCGGATTGGGCTCGTCCTGACCGCGGTGGGAGGGAGTGTCCGTCAGATAGACCTCCACGTCATCAGGCACTTCTTCGAGAAAATTGGATGGAACCAAGCCCCGATGTCCATTAAGCTCACCCTGAAAGACAAAAAAACAAAACACAATAGTGCTGCAGGCTCAGAATAAAGCAGCGTGAGCGGTCAGCACAACACTGAGACTTACATAATAGAAGCCGTCTTCATCTATATCCCCAAAAACAGCAATGATATCGCCAGCACAGAATGTCAGTTCAGCCTGCCACAGAAAGCACA